GCACCAAAATATCGATTTGAAGCGCTGATCATGGTGAATGGGTGCCGAACCACTCGCAAAGATACTAAAGTTGCGTTAAGTATTTCTGACATTGATCGACGAGTACTCTTTGCAGCCCAGGATGCACAAATTTTATGTACGGCGAAGCTGTCCACAGCCTCTGGGCAGATGACCGCCCGATCAGCATATCGAGCACTGTTGCCAAAGGGGCCGACCACAACACGTCCTGGAACCTGCAGTCGGGAATCCTCGTGCTTGTTTTGCAGAAGTATAGGGACAGCTTTCGCTCAATGCGCATAGACGATGCTTCGTCGTAGCCTGCGTAGCCCAGCATCTCGCATAACATAATAGAACCTTCGATAACATGTGGTAAACAATCTCGTTTCAAGATGGGAAGACCCGAGTGTCTGCAAGAAAGCTCTCTATGTTCCTCTTCCTCGAGTTGACCATTCCTCCCAAATCCACCGTTGAGCCAGTTGTAGATTGTGGGCGATTGCTCACAGGCTAGTAAGGCAAATTAGCCACGCGACTCGTCACTCTTACTAGCAAGACTCTCATTCTCTCCAGTTCCTTTTCCACTGGTCCATCCCGTGTGATCAGATTATCCTGAATACTTCTCTCGTTAGTCGCGGACAGCGGCTGAACGGCGTCTCTGAACCGTCGTAGCTTTTCCACACGAAGTCTAACGTTTCTCCGCTCTTCACTCAGCTGCGTTAATCGCAGGACAATGGCTTCATATTGGTCTGCAACCTCAGGATACTTGTCAAGATCGGCCTCAATCGGCCACGAAGAAGGCAGTTCTTCAATCGCATCATCCGCAGCTACACATTGAATTAGCATAAGAAATATAGGCCAAAAATAATGCAAGTGGCGCACCCAAGTCCAGCTCTCGTCCAATTGTGCTCTCCGACTCCTTCAACTTGTTCACTCTTTCTTCGGCATTTCGAGAGTATAAATTGCTGATCTGTTCGGCGACATTATAGGTCGCTTGTGGAGGGTATACACGTCGGTAGTGTAGTTGCATCGTTTGGTTGAGGTTGAAGAGGACGTCGTCGAGAATACGCGCCGGAATGGGGTTGCTCGACGCATTGTTGTTTCGGCGCCAGATCCGTGATGGTGCGAGGGGTTGGAAGAGGGTGTTTGTTTGGGCGGTGATAAAGGATATTTTGAGGGAGGGAATCGTGGGTGCGGTATCCGCCATGGCTATACGTAGTGCTCGGGTCCTAGAGATGGCGATATGAGAGCAGCTTTGATGTTGATGATGGTACAATGTAGCTATGGTAGAATTTGAAGCTGGCAGCGCCCCACCCTTAGCTGTGAAGAGCGGCTCTCTTGATAAGGCGTTTCTACCTAACATGGTGCGGAGCTGCTTCATCGACAAAAAACAGCAAATGCACATTCGCGACTAACAAGTGTAGAAACGTAAAAAGCCCAATCGTCATATCCCTCACCCACGGTACCCTATCGTGAAGCAATCTCTTTTCATTGGGGATGTAATTTATGAAAAAAACCGAGAATCTTACTTTTTACTAACCCTTTTTGGCTGCCATGGTATGTTGTGGCCAAATGGCTTGCCCACTGACAAGCATCTCTCACATCATGAGCAAACCCGGGATTCAGATCTTGATCTTCATGCAGAAGAACACATTCCGTGCCACCTCATCCATCTGCCCCCCCTATGCAGTATGTAAATACAGCAACCTAACACCAGAGTCGGCCAAGGACTTTCACAGTGCCTCCAAGTCACTGCACATGTGTTACGCCTGTGGAGGAAAGGTGGCAGAACTCTGGTATGCATTGCACTAGCAAATATTATGGGGCATCGGCTAATAAGAAGTGGCAAAAGTGTGGCGTCCCTAAGGCGTTCGCGTCTGTATCAATTCGAGGTGGAAGGTGCATTGAGCAACGGCCGCTTCTTCCACCTGTCTACAGACAAGTGGAAGGTGGTCATGGTGATGGTGCATTTGTGTGCAGGTATTGTGAAGCCGTAGTGTCGCTACAGACGCCTCAGCCGTCGTTTTTCTCGTTCAATAGAAGGGTACTCCCTTTGACATACTTAAATCGTGACTTTGCTTGCCTGTCACGTTGAAACAATGGGCACTTGGAGATGTGAACGGTGCATAAAATCGCCGATAGGTCTACATCCTCGACGTTGCGGGAGGTCAGCCACAGTGGCTTGTACCGTGCTTCGAATGTAAGCCACGAATGTGGGACGTGTTGCACGTGGCACGAACCCCTTGACTCAGGAACGACTGGTTCGCCCAGCCACCCCCTTGTGGCTGTTATGGCTCACCACCAATCAGGTCCTGGGGCGGCCTCGGCGCTTAGCTTTTCCTGGCGATCGTGTTATCTTTCTGCCCTGTCTTCTGCCATGTCTTTCTGCCCTCTCATGATACGCTTTCTCTGCACCAAAATCGATCGGATGTGATTAAAACTAATCCCATCGGAAATGGGCTAGAGACCTTCCGCTCCTTGTTTCATGCAAAGTACAAGAAGTCATCAATAGCACTAGATCAGCTTGATCTCGAAGGTACCTCGCCCACTATCTTGCAATATGTTGCTATTGCTCTGACTGCAAACAAAGAACCGCAAAATCTCTCCGTAGATCTGCTCTTGGCACTCCAAACTACTCGATCTTGCCGCCTGCTCCGCTCCAGCGGGAATGGGAAGAATCTCCTCGGCGACTTACTCAGTCAATTCCGCGGTCAACCCAGGCGAATTCGATATCGGGCGCGTAATAATATGGGCTGCTTCCTGTATTATGACATCCGGGATAGACTTGTCCCTTCTGGCTGTCACACTACTTGACCGCTTTCTACACCCCTCTCAAGGTGAAGTTCAGGATATTCCCGAGGATACAGAGCCGGCGCTAGTCGTCGCGTTAGTTAGGCTCGCAGCAAAATACGAAGGCAACCGTGGTCCATGCCAACGGGCAGATGACCTATACTGCCGCCTTACAGAGACGGGAGACAATCAAGAGGATATGGGCGAGGCCAAACATGGACAGAATCTGGACGATGCAGAGCTTGAACAGAAGACAGCCGAGTCGAAATGTAGAAAGAATGTGAATGCGACGGAAGGAAAGGTGCTGCAGGTTTTGAATTATGACTTGCATTGGCCCACGCCGATGCCTTTCGTGCGCAGGATTCTAAGGCACGGCGACGAGACAGACTCGTTCAGAAACGCGATAGAGATGGTCCTGGTAATTGCCAGTGTAAGCCACTATTTCGCAGAATATCCGGCCCACATCATTGCTGCAGCGTCATATTCGGTCTGTTGCAGGCTCTTAGGTGTGGTCCAACCGGTTAGTACGTTGATGGAAAAAGAGCTTGATGTTCACTAACCTCACTAACCCTCCTTGACAGGGAGTGACTCGTATTATGCAACAATGGTCGTCGGCAGACGAGTTGTCGGACGCTACGCAGAGGTTGGAAGCTGCAATCCGGACAGAGCTGAAAGAAAGCTGTCCATGGGTGTACCTGCCTCAACGATGGAGACCGCGAATAAGGTGGATCGTAGTGCTACTTACGCAGTATCCTATGGATCACGATTGGAATGAGTGCCGATACCAGTTGGTTAGAAAGAATCGCCGGTGTAAACTCCAAATAGCCAGGAAGAAACGAGCTGAAAGATCGCGGCTACTACGATCAATGCAAAACTGCGACGCTGAAAAGGTAAATGGTGTGCTGGAGGATGTTGGTGAGCTGCTGCTCTGCCATCACCACCGAAAGTTTAAAACGCTGCGCCTTCAATGGGCTCAAAGCCTTGAAGAATTTCCGATTTACAGGACAGATGATGAATCGCCATAGAAATGACGGGAGGATACGTGACCCAAGGCCTGTCGTGAGAGTATTTATCTTGACGGACGCTGTGGGGGGGGGATGCATGTAAAATGCCTACCTGCAGGCCAGTTTAAGACTGGTGAATAATACGTGGTTACATAGCATTGGTAAATCTGGATCTCGCACTGCTCGGACTTTCAGTCCCCGTCTGTGGACCCGACTAGGAAACCTTTGATGCCATCGGTTGTGTATAGCGACTCTAGCGAGGACGAAGAGGACGTCTCAGAAGACGGGTATCCGTCAGATGAAATTGGCGGCAAAGGGAATCTTAAAGGATTTATTGTCTATGACGACGACGAGCTTGCCGACATCGACGACCTAACAAAGGAGGTCTCCGCCCGTGACACGAAAGCGCGAAAACAGACTAAGCCTGCCAAACCATGGTCGACAGGGGTTGCGACCAAGAAATGGCAGGTAGTAAAAGGGGCCAGGGGTGCCGACCGGAAATTGCATTCAGTTGTTAGCCTACCCTAAATTCCTCAAATCTTTACAATTCACCATCATCACACCGCGCGCATGCCATCTATGACTGCTATGGCAGTCCACGCAAAACTCTCCAATCTGTGTCGTAGCATCTGAACATCCCGCTGACGGGAACAGATTTGCTTGTAAGCGCCTTCGAGCTGTCGCAATGTTAGATAGTGCTCTGTTTATATTGTATGTGTGGTTCGCGACCGCAACAAATTTTGTAAATTAACACTAGCCTAGCACGTCTTGTGCCCCGCGTAGGGGACCTGAGCAGCCAATGGCCGCTGGACGGAAAATACACTCACTCACTCACTCAATCAATTAAACCTCAATACCGCTCGCCAAGATGGATTGACGAATTAGGTAATCAAGCCTGCTGTTGATTGAGTTGAATTGACGTCGCTGGTCAATCAACTCAACTCTGTTGAAAGCCTGCTGTTGATTGAGTCAATCAACTCAACTCTGTTGAATAACGTTGAGTGGTTCCCGCCCTTGTCCGGGCCTATGAGCCTTTTGAACTCTCTCAGTAACTCCTGTCGCCGTCGATCAGATTGCATTTTCTGAACTGTATCCGTCAGATAGTGATTCAGAGTAATTGGGTGGCCGTCATAGTGTGGTTTCAACAGTTCCTGCATTTTCCTATGGAGTCTGCACTTTAGCGGCTCCATTGCAGCAGTGATGGTCTGGGATATTTCTTTCACAGAGTCTTGGGCGGCGACATGCTCAACTATATCGTGTGTCACCTCGTGTACAACTTGTAGGATTCGCTGTTCTACTGCTGCGGCAATATTTTCCCAAGGCTGGCACTGCTCGGCGAAGAGCTCCGAAATGACCAAAGGATTGAAAGTCCCCGGGAGCTCACGACCTCTGCTTCGCTTCATGAGTTGTTTAACTTCGTCAATATAATCAGAGCGGCAAATTCAAGGTCTTATGTCTTCGCCGTCTGTTGGCGGCGAATCGACGATGACTCGGTCCTGGCCATTTACTCGCATCTCCTGTTCGAACTCGGTCAAAGTATTCTGTACGCGCGCTCTTAGACGCTTTCGATATCCATCCTCCGATTTGGACGTGCCAAAAAAAGGATGATTGTACTCCCCGTCAACTGCGGCCTTCATGAGCAAGGAGAATTCGCGGCTTACTTGCAACAGATACCGGCGTCGTTCTCCAGCAGTCGTACGAGGTGATCCAAGCCGTTGGAGCTGAGTCTTACAAGCGAAAATTTCTGACTCCACATCATTGAGACTAGGGAGCTGAAGCAAGATCTGGTCCTTCAAAACATTGCTCAGTCGGGGCTTCAATGACTTAACGCCCAGTTGCTCCGGATTCATGGTGGCCCAGATTCCCGACTCGAAAAAATCTCTCCTCTGCCTCGTCACGTTCGGCAGAGGTCGCGTCTCTCATCTTGTAGTCCCTGTTCTTCAGAATATGCCAGCCGAGTCGAAATGCGACGTCCTTATTTTCAGCCAGCTTCACGTACGCGGCGTCATTGTCAGACCCGGCGTCCAAAGCGTCCGGTTTTGTTATGAGGCTCAAAGTCCGGTTACCCTTTGGGTCGAGCTCACGGGCCATTTCGGTGATTTCTTGAAGAGCAAAATCGCTCCTGTACCCTGTCGGAGCGCGAAGCGGTGGCCCCACTATGGAGACAAACCAGTTGCCTGGGCAGCAACGGCATGGGGGGACGTGCCATCGCCCAACAAACTACATGAATCCGAACCTCACCCACAACAGGACGAATTAATGCCGTTTGAGATCTTTGCAGACAGACACCAGCATGGAACGAATGGAAGCACTACTGCATGAGGCTCAGCTGCGGCTTGAAGAGGCTGAAAGACGCTTCAATGAAGAAAAACAACAACGTGAAGCAGCAGAGCAGAGAGCACAGGCATCCGAGCAGCAGACGCAACCCACAACCTTGAGCGAATACCTCGACGCATGTCATTTACAACCTTAAGCGAATACCTCGACGCATGTCATCGGTTAGTCTTCGCTAAACTTCATGTGGAACACAATCCCGACCGGTTATCACGAGGTTCTTTGACCAATCCGCAAAGCAAGCGATGTCCCACCAACCTGCGGCAATGGCCAGACTTCCTGGAGCAGCAAAGGCGCATATTTGGCCTCCTCCTCGACACCTTTCCTTGCGATTCGGATCGGCTCTTCGAGAGCGAGCACTTTCTAACAACCATGGGCGCCAGAATCGGCGGACGAACCATCGCGGACGAGAAAGTCCTAGAGTTCTTCTTGCACAACGCTGTTGAGGATCCTGTGAGGAATATCATCAATCAGCTTGTCAATATACCAGCCGTCAGGAAGGCATTTGATCTTGGCAACGGCATCGTCTTCGAGAACCACCCTCATGCGCTGAGTGAAACCGCAGAAGAGGTGATCGACAGGCAGGCGCGTACAGTACCACCGAGCACGCCGGGACACGGAGAGAACCTGAGGAAACTACAGGCGGACCAGATCTGTATCTACCGCTCCGACGACGCCCAAGGGGATCGGACGAGGGCCTTCATCTGCGAGTACAAGCCGCCGCACAAGTTGACAGCCCAACATCTACATGTCGGCTTGCGCGTCACGGATATCTACAAAGAGGTCGTAAACCGGAAGACGATACCGACTTCAGAAGACCCAGAGGCGCTCTTCGCATACCACGCCGAAAGGCTGACCGCGTCAGCGATCACGCAAACGTACCATTACATGATCGAAGGTGGCCTCGAGAAAAGCCTCTTGACAACCGGCGAGGCCATCGTGTTCTTCAAGATTGATTGGAAGGATCCAGAGACACTTTATTACCACTTGGCGGTGCCGAGCGCCGAAGTTGCTGCCCAATCGAAGGACGCGCATCTTTGTACAGCCGTCGCTCAGTATCTGGCCTTCACATTGCTAGCCATCGACGGGTTAGGAACGCGGTCGCACGGCCAGGATGAACGCGACCGGGCTACCAAGAAGCTGAACAAATGGGAGGTGTCATTTGACCTGACATACCGGTCAATCCCCGAAGAGGACCGGTCCTTTCTCTCAGACAGCTCGCCGGGCTACCAACCCCCTACATACGGCAACATAGATCGGTCACCGATTCGTCCACGAAAAAACCCGCGACGCGGTCAAGGGGACGCCGATGCCGGCATCCAGCCCTCGAAACGGGACGACTCGGGCTCCTCGTCGGATGAGGAGCCCAATCCAAGAGCGCCGACCACCCCAACGCCCCCCCAACGAACGCAAGAAGGAGCCCGACGTAGTGCGCGCCTAGCTATGCGACCACGAGGCGGCAGCGTCGATAACAGCGGGCAACGCCGACAGTTCTGCACCCAGAAGTGCCTTCTTGGTCTGGTCCGAGGACATGCTCTGGACCAGAGCTGCCCAAACGCTGCGCTTCACCGCCAAGGGGCGACGTTGCATCGTTGCGCAACCCTCCGCCACCCTGTCAACCACGCACAGTGGTTGAACCTGCTCCGTGCACAACTAGAGAAGACACTCGACGGCGGCATCACGCCCCTCAAACAGAGCGGCGCTCGCTGTGTGCTTTTCAAGGTAACATTACTTGCTTATGGATACACGTTTGTGAGCAAGGGCACAATCCGGGCTTTTATCCCCGATCTCGAACACGAAGCTGCCGTCTATCGACGCTTGGATGATCTACAGGGTGTCATTGTGCCAGTGTTCCTCGGCGCCATCGATCTGCGATCCATGAACAAAACATACTTTTTGGACCTCAGAGTGTACATAGTGCACCTGACATTCCTGGCATGGGGCGGGGAAAGTCTCTATGAGGCACAAGGGGCTGCGTATATCACGGAGCAGCAAGTTAAAGGCAGCTTGCGTGCCATACATCAGCATGGTGTGATACATAACGATGTGCGAGCTGAGAACATCCTGCTCTGTCGGGAAACCAACGAGGTGATGATGATTGATTTCGAGCGGGCAGTGCTATTGCAACCGTCACGACCTCCCCTCGCAACGATGACGCCGAACAAGCGTCTCTTACTGCAAGACACACCCCGCGAGCGAAAGCGTCACAAATCGCGTCGGATGACGAGATGCTTTGCGGAGGACATTTTGATGGCGAGTGGTCTTTTCGTCACCACCAATACGTAGGTCTCGGACACGTCTAACAAAAGTTTGACTAAGTGATGATGGATGGGTGGACTGGGAGATTCCTACCATTGGACAGGGACCCGGTGGATTTCAAGGGAGAACAACACATGATTTTGAGGAGACGAAAGGATGCAGAAATCATACATCCTTTCATTCAAGGCTTGGTCAAGTCCGTCACAGCTGACATTTTCCAATGCCCGGCATCCGCAAGCCAGGCTCCTATATCGGACGAATGGAAGGTCATACTCCATTCAGTACCACCACATTCTACTACGCGGTATGATGCGGACGTAGGATTCAGTTAGGTAATTTTCATCGAGCAGCCCCTGACTTCCACTCGGAGACCCTCGAATCATCGCCGTATACGAAGTCGACCAAACTGATTAGCCATTGCGAAGGGCAAAGGAACTTGTCTGATTTCATCAGCATGTTTGACTGCCCGGCCTACCTTTGTAATTATGTAACACCCTGGTCGCCCCAAAGCACCAAAACAGGATATATTGCTGTCATAAACCCATACAAGCATCGGAAAGTGAGTGCATTTTTTTGATCGCACGACGAGGTTGGCCGATGATCTTGGCATGCCGCGACCAGAATATGCCACCTACAAGTTTTGGATTGCGAACCGATGGATACTGTTGGGATCACAAGGCAATTGGTGATGCAGTACTGCAAAAAGGAGTATAATATCAATTCAGGTCTATCTCCTAGTTATATATGGTAGTAACAGGGGTAGTGTTGGTGGTAACGATATTTATACATGGTGCTTCCCCCTATTACGGGTCTACACAGGTCTACACATGACGTTACACGCGATATTAAGTTAAAATACTACGCCACCCTTTGCACGTTAGAGCTGTTGACTGCAAGGGGTAGAATCATCCGAAGGCTGAGATTCCGTAGGCCAAGCAACTATTACAGCCATTACATTAATTGTCTAGTTGAGTCCGGGAGTAATTATGTATTTTTTTATGCAGAACTCTGGTCTGTCTTGTAGGGATTCTGAGTAAGAACCTGTTGTCTCCTATGGCGCTGATCCTCATCATCTTCTAGTCAAGCCAATCACCGGCTGGCGGCATACACGGCTGGCGGGTGAATTGCCGACTAGTATTTGCGTGGGACGACATGTTGGCAGGACGTAGTAATATCGTGTTCAACTCCCGTGGTAGAAGCGGAAGCTGGTTATATATTAAGCCAACCTCGCGGAGGAAGCGAACCGCGTGGACCCGACACTTATACTACTGCCCTCGCACAAGCATAATGTTCACGTAGACGTCTTCGGTAGGCGTAAGCTGGGGCAGGCGGGCCGGCACAAGCCCAAAGTCGAGCTGATTATCCGCGGAGAAGGAATATGGCTCCCCAAAGCGGCATTTCGAATCCTTTCGATAGCAACAGCCACAGATGCCGTCAAAGTCGATCTTCATCTCAAATCAACACACTTGGCATCTGGTCATTGTCGAGCGTGGTCCAAATCTCACGGAGGGTGGGCCTATCGCGGTCTGTCAAGGCGCAAGCGTCATCTTGTGCGTAAAAGACCGCCGATTCTTCAGGCAGAATCATCACTGGACCCCGAATACACCGTCGCGATCTCGACGATTGAGTTTGCATTCGAGACTGCCTTGGCCGCCCTCGTGTACCAGGAGCAGAACCACGGCGGCCAGGCCTTGGCTGTGTGGAAGGCTGCCGCAAGCGATGGCCGAGAGGGTTTCCATCCAGGGAATCATTAACGTCAGTCTCGTCTTCGTCCCCTAGATCGGAATCAGACTCAACCGCTAATTGTTTGAGATATCTTCGTGGTCGAGCAGGTGAAAGCAATAAGTTGAATAGTCCTCAGCGTCAATATCAGATTCAGAGAACTGTCCCTGGTCATCCCATCCCCATCTGAAAACCTACTCGATGGTAGTTGATCTTGAACAAACTACTGGGGGGCATAGCACAAGGATACCTTCTCCAGGATCCTCAAAATCTTCAAAGGCGCCGAGTCGAGATGTAGTGGGAGTTATGACAGTTTCCCCGCTCGGCGTCGTGAACAATTGTCGCGCTGGATAGCGGCCTGCTTGGCCCTCACCCCGGCCTTGGAGGAATTATCGTGCGAGCCCTTCCCCCTTTGTGGAACCTAGCAGCCAAGCAAGAGTAATCCACACCAGGTGTGCTAGATGTGCTGCTTCTGACGGTAGATGGCTCAGGAAGTGAGGTGTTATAGGTCGTTGGCTGTACTGGTGGTGATGGAGCCAGCTCTAGGTTGGTGGAATTGGCGTCCCCAGCACTACCCGTGGCTGACTAATTGGCCCGCCGAACAACTTCCTGGATGTAGGAGGCTACTGTAGTCTCTTTGGAGATGTAGGCTGGCTTCCGGATCTCTCTTTACTGGGCGATAAGGCAGCTTCTCCGTCAGTTCTCTT